GGCGCGCGGACCTCTCCCCGGAGAGCCGCGGCGAGGCCATCTGCGTCCCTGGAAAGCGCGCCCGGGTGACGGGCGCTGCCCACTGGCCGGCCCGGCCTTTGGGCGCGTCCCCGCGCGTCCCGGCGCCCTCCCCCACGGTCAATTACCAGCCACCCCGGTGCGGGCGGGCGAGGCGCTGGCTGGCGGCCGCGAGAAAGCGGCGGCCCGGATCGCTTCTGCATGACAATTGACGCGAGGGAGGGCGCTCGGCGAGGAGGGAGGACGGCCCCGGGGTCCGCGTCTCACCATGGTGATGAGGCATTCCCGCCGTAAGAGGCGACCGGGGGCGAGGGCCGGGGAGAGCGGCCGCCAGAGCCAGCCCAGGCGCCGGGCAATCGGCGCGCAGAGCAGAGCCAAGCCAGGCCAGATGGCTCTGCAGCCATCGGGGACCGCTCCCGTTCAGCCCGGCCCCACTTTAGCTGTGCAAACATTTCTTTATCCCAACAAGACAATTAAACCCAGCAGCATGAAAGGGAGTATCCGTGACTGTGTTGGGCGTGAACAAACGGCAACAACCGCACACATCACAGGAGTTCTTGCCCCGCGGGAGAAGGGGGTGGGAGAACCCAAAGCAGCTGAGCGCATCATAGGGCTAGATCTGGCAGTAGGTACCCGAACAGTCAAGCTACAGGCAGCCCTCTGACCCCTCTTTCTGGTCAGCGGCTGACCCTTCACACTAGTCATCTGCTCCAGCTGCGGTCCAGCTGCAGTCCAGAGGTGGAGCCTGGGACTGCCCACTCCATTTCCAGAGCCCTCGGCAAGTGGCAAGTATCCGCTTTCTCTCACCCCTGTGATGTCAGCTGCTGTTTTCCAAGCTGCCTTTGGCCTAGATGGGCTAGACTGGTTCGTGGGACATAAGGTCTTCCATGACACATGCCTTTAGAAAGATGCACCTAAAGGGCAAAATACCATCTCCAATCAGGGCTTTTGGGACCTGGGGCTGACTTTCCAAATATATCCAAGACGAGCATCAAGCCAGACAGGAGTTTCTGGGAGATCTCAAGTTTCCTGCCTATCTGCCAAAGTACCTGGCCACAGAAAAGGCCCAACGCTAGAGGACCAAGCAAAACCAGTGCCCAGTGCCCCTTCCCGAGGTGAACCGGAAGGCAGGGCCAGCCACACCTCCACAGGGGCAGCTCTGAGTTCTCTCAGACCTAGGGTAAGCATGCTAACCAACACGAACAATCTGGGGTTAGATAAAAAGGCTCCTCAAAGACTGTGAGGAGTCAGGCAGGAATCTGGGCAAAGGGATAGCCTGAAGAAAGCCATCAGGAGATGCGCATGGCGGGACCCAGAGTACCCGGTGAGACAGTAAGAAATGCTGGGATTCTGGCGCTCTGCAGCACGCAGGACTTACCTTCCCTTTTGCTGTAAAGTTTCCTTAATGAGGAATGTTTATTTTAAAGGCCCTGGGAAACACGCCTATAGACACTTCATATGTAAGACACATGGGCTATTTGTAATTGGCCCATAAATTTTAGCGTCATTCCCCTAGACAAGGAGCCGTGGGGACTGGTTCAGGGAATGACAATAAATGGGAGTTACCTCAGTCCCCTTCCTGGGGAATTATGCATCTTTCAGGAACAGCTTCTCACAAAAACACTTCTCCCATTTTCCTGGGCAGGTAAGTTGGTCCTGCAGTGCAAAGGCCTCCTCGGTCCACACGGCCCAACACCTACCTTGGGGTCACCTGTAAAACCAGGTGAGCAGATGGGCAAGCCAACCGGAGTCACCCACTAGGAGAGAGGACACTTCACCCAAGTAGCTATATGTATGTCGTTCCCCCCCCCCCCCCCGCCCAGCACATTTAATCACAAAAGGAATCCTGCCTATCAGCACTCCGGTCAAGGGCTGAACACGTGTGCATTACAGCATGTCTGCGGGCGTCTTTTTGAGAGGCATGTGGGCATATCTGCATACGGATACAAAGCCGTGAGCAGGGGCAGCCGCCACAGTAAAAACTGTCAGTGTTTCCATTATAAAACTGATTTCCAACACCCTAAAATCCAGTCAGAAAACTTGGACATGCCCACCAACGCCCACTCCCACCCCACCTATCAGCGAAACCGTGAATTCTATTAGGTTAAGTTTTCATTTAGGGCTTTCACTATTATATTTAATTAAAACTTTTTTAAAATGCTATGAAAAAATGTTTGATGAGAACTGAAAAAAAAAAAGTCAGCCATATCAGAAATTAATTCTAAATTTTAATAAGTGACGAGCCTAAAATACACATGGCTCAATTTGGCAATGTGGGCACACACGTGGCATCCTGTGCCTGGGCTCTCCTGAACAGTTGTTCCCTGCTCTCTTCTGGCCTCCCCACCCCCACTGCTGCCCCATCTGCCCCTGAGCTCTCGCTCCCTTTGGAAGCAGCCTTGTATACTGTCACTCGATTATCTGAGAAATATTACTTATTTCAAAACGGTTCTGTAGGGAAGACCCGAAAGGCATCTAGTGGGGATAATCAGGTCTCCTAACGGCCCTTAAATATGTATTTACATAAAACAGACCATAAATATTCTCACACACGTTGGGTGTGTGACAGGAGCCAAGAAGGCTGCTGCCGACTTTGTTGTGGTGCTCTGCTAGCCTTCCTTGAAGAAAATGTCTCTCCTTCCTTCCAAAAGCTCAGAATCAAAAGCATAGGTGACATCCAGCCCAGCCCCTCCAAACGCAGCAGCTATACCACCTAAAGCAAGGAAGGGAAAGGGAGCACAAATCCAGGGCCACCACTGGGGGACAGTCTCCTCTTCACTTAGTGCCTTTGTTTCTGGTTAAAGATCAGTCATATATACAACCCTAATAATCTGAATGTGCACAAGTACCCTCTACTCCCAGCCCTTCCTACGAGCTTGCTATCTGTGCACAAGAAAAAAAGAACACAAGTACTCACTATAAGGGAAGGATATTTTGAACAAAAGAAAAGAGGATTCCAATTCACATGACAATCTGAAATAAAGAAGTTTCCCCACCCGTCTGATCAGAGTCCCATTAATTTCAAGGTCAGAATTCCATTTCACTTTGGGAGACAGACTCATTTAATTTTTCTCCACCCAGGCGTAATCCTGTGTGAGGGATCCATCTCCGAGGGGGGACAGCACCCCCATTCAATGCAAACCAGGCAAACACAAGAGTTATGGCTTTGACACTCGGTGGGGAATGGACAGCCACATCTATGGGTGGGTTCTGACTTGGCTAACAAGCTTGCTTCTGCTAGGGCGGTCTGGGCTAAAATGATCACAAACGAGAGACAAGCTGGGCACACGGACTGAGAAGAACGGAGCGCTGATCTCCAGATGTTACTTTACCACACACTGGCTTTGAGAGGATTTCGTTTTCAACTTGTACTTGGAGGGGACATGGGAAAGAACTAGTCACACCCTCACCCAGCAGCGCTCACAGGGGCCAGCCTCCAGGAGCCTCCGCCACTCCACAAATGAAAATTGAAGCAAAACAGAAAATCAGGGCCGACCCAAGGCCAAACACCTGTGCAGCAGGTACCCTCAAGAAGCAGGATGATAGCACAGAGTTGTCCACAGAAGGTGAGAAGGTGACAGCCGGAGAGCCAGGGCTTCGTGGCAGTCCTGCTGCCACGCTGCCACAGCCTTCTCCCTGAAGTGGGGAGGTCTCCGGCTTACAGACACAGACATAAAAGACACACTCTCAACATATTTCAAAACCAAAGAGCGATGGATTTACAAGGCAGGTTGATTTTATGGTGACTTTTATTGAAAAGGTACGCTGGGTGTAGGCAGATGCCTTTTAGCACAGGAAAGTTAACACAGTGCCTAATTCAAGGAGACAGCCTGAGGAAGCAGGGCCGACGGGGGAGAAGGCCGCGATGTCTCTATTACTCTCCTCGGCATCATAAAGAGAAGAGAAAAAAAAATGGTGTTCGTGTTGGTGGTTAGGGAGAACAAGAGCACAAAAACATAGAGGAAAGGGGAAAGCAAGCCTCAGATGTAGTTTTCTTAAGAAAATAAAATGAAGCAAGTCTTAGAACAAAAGGTTGGAGGGAAAAAACACCCTCAGTTCATAAATTCTCACCAGGCTTGAAGAAAGCTGTTCTGTCCACCCACAGCCCCAAAGCTTCAAAACACAATTATTTTTTGATTCTATCAGAGTAGAAGATTGCAGGGCAATGCCCTTCTAGTCCGCAAGTTCCCAAGAAAGGTTAAGTTCCAACAATTAGCAAACGTAGCCAGAACATAGCAAGGCGCTGGAGAACATGAGAAAAGCCATTTCATAAGCGGGAATTAATAACAGTTGTGAGCATCAACCACAGGCCAGGCACCCGGGTCAGCTCTGTCTCGTCCTAAAAGCTAGCCCCAGGACAAGCATCCAGCAAACCTGCTGAATCCCGAGAGAAGTCAGCTTTCCAGCTTTGTGATAGAAAGGAAAACACAGCTGGTTTGAAATGCTTTATGGTGACGGACGATACCTTTGTCCTTCTGTGAAAAAAAAAAAAAAAACCTGACGCAGACAAGAACTGAGAGTTAAGAAAACAAAATCATGTGCTGTCTGCTGGCTATGATACAGTGGGAAAATGAAAAAAAAATTAACATTATTATCAGGGACCCACAGGAAGACAGCAAAGAGAGGCAGAAGGGACAAGTTTCCTTGGGCCCCCAATTTCCTGGGAACCTATGCTTTCTAAGGAAATGACCTCCATCCCAGTGTTATCTATGGCACCTACTTCTCTCCTCCGTCTCCAGAGAAGCCAGCCAGGCCTGGTACTGAGACCAGCTTGCCTCTGGCTACCGTCGGAAAACCTGAAAGAACTGTATCATTGATCACTGAAGAGAGATAAGTAAGCATTAGCCATCCACAGCTACCACAAGGGACGCAGTTGGCCTTTCCGTCACCAGAAGCACGTGCAACGCCGCCAACCTGTTGAACCCTTCTGCAAGGCAGGGCTTAACTAGGGGCGAAGAGGGGGCTCCAAGCAACGTACTTACATCTGTCATTCCGATCCTCCGGACTCGAGGAGGCTTCCCGGTCGGAGATGAGGCCAGACACGGCGAAGATCTTCTTCCCAGTGTCATCAACCTTAAGTGAGCCAGGGGAGCTGGATGGCAGCTGTGTCCCAAAGTCATATTCCTTGCCATCTGCGTCTGAGAAGCGCAGGTGGGGAGACTCAGTGTCATGACAGTTCTTGAGTCTCTTGGCTGGCGTGAAGGCTGACTGATAGCTCTCTCGGTCCTCCGTGGAAGCAAAGGGACGGAAGGCCCCCACGCCACTGTGATTTAGCATACTGATTGGGGTGCAATCTAGGTTTGGGGGAGCAAACTGAGGGTGGAGGTGTAGCAAGGAAGGGGGGAAATCACGGTTGGCGAAAGTGCCCGGCACCCCACCTTGCCGATGGTACATAGAGGCAAAGGTGTAGGAGCCATTAGTGAAGGGAATATGCACATCCTTGTCTACCGAGACGGGGACACCAAAGGGCCTTGGCTGCTGACAAGGGATGGAAGCATCCCGGCTGGCCTCGGCAGTGGACGCCAAGACCATCAATGCTGGGGACGCCAGGGGGTTGGGAAGGTAGGATGAGTTCTCCATCTTGAAGGCTGCCCGGTGTAAGTCCATCGGAGTGTCTTTCGATGACTGGCGTCACACAAGAAGCAGTCTTCCCTGGGAGGGAGGCCAACCTGCACTGTGGATCAGGGCGAGGGTTATTACTGGGGAATCATGCCCTTCGCAGACCTGCAGAAACAGCAAAGGGGAGGAGAAGAGGGGAGAGGAAAGTCAGGGGGAGGTGAAAGAGGGAAACCCCAAGTGATTGAAACACCATCCTTCTGGCTTACAGATGCTCGGGCAAGAGACACCACAGGCTTTAGGAACCAGTGGGCAGCAGCAGCAGACCGTTTTCATTCAGGAAAATCAATAGACAACTTACTGTGATGTACGCGTAGCTGACTTTGGTCCCTACACGTTCCGGGTGAAATGCGCCTGAGCCCAGCAAAGAAAAAAAAAATCATAAAACCTCCAAATACAATATTCCCTGAGCAAATGAGCTTTGGAAGGCCAAGTCACCCAGTAGATTCGGTGGAGGTGGGGGTGGGGTGTCCATATTTTTAAAGGGCTTCCACCTGCAAACGACACTTTGAGAGGTGCAGAGACCAGGCTCGACCCAGCTGACGCCTCACATTAATATCCCTCTTCATCCTTACACTGACAGCTCCCTGTGTCACACGCGCCTGCCTGGACCACGAACCTCCGCGCACACCGGTTGGTACACAGTGTACATGTACCTAAATCACACACGTAGGGCGACACACACACACACACACACACACACACACACACACACACACACATCTTCGTGTGTCACCGGAGACTGTCTCTAGAAATAAGCACCGTGTGAACAAATCGCAGATGCATCATTTCTGATGTACACGCCTCCCCCCTCCCCCCCCCACTGCACAGGCTTCCTATTTCTCTCCTCTAAAAAGAGACAAAAACCTTCATCAACAAAATGCCTGGCACCTCTGACAATGTTTTAAAACCTGGCTCCTTTGGTACATGTTCTCTTCCAGGAGCAGCAAAGAATGAATGGGTAATTTTAAGTTACCAATACAGCTACTCTTCAGGAAATTTGTAAACTGCCTTGGGGTTACCATCAACATTTAGAGCAAAATGTTAACAAAATTTCTCCCTTATTTTGTTCCGTTTATTGGCTCAGGCGGAGTTGATGTCCAATAAAGGCCTCCAGAACAAACTGGATTTCAGAAAAGAGTTCTTCCAGCTTCCCTTGTAAAATTAGGCTGTACATTTTCATAGCCACTGATCCAGTTTCTAATATACTGAGTGAGGTTGTGGGGGGGGAGAACTGCACATCCAAAGGCAGGATACTGTAAGATGCGTACCAGGACTTACTGGCTGCAAATCTATACGCTCGGTAGAAACTGTATGGAACTTAAAAGTATAACCCAAACTACCATCTATTACAAATTATAAATTGAGTCATGTCAAAAATAAAATCGATCCCTCCCTTTAAAAAGCCCACCTCTGCGGTGGAAGATCTTCGGTATTCCTTCAAGTAGAAAACCCTCAGTTAAACTGCAGAGGAATCCTCCCTGCTTAATGCAGTGCAAGGAGAGTATTTCCTTCTCCCATCCTGTAGCAGACATGTCAATGACCGTTATTAATGGCGAAGATGAGTGGACACCATCAGACTGCTTCCTCATTTGGCATCTCTCCTTATAGACATCATTGCTAAATTACCAGATTATGTATCTCACATTAACGGATTTTCTCTCTTCCAAATTTTAAATAACTTTCCTGTCAAGTTACAGCAGGGCAGGGCTGCTCTGCCAAGGACAGCCAGTTAGCCTGGCAAGTCTGGGAATTCTGTTCTTGGCTGTTTTCAAGTCAGATTAATGGTCCCACAACACGGATGCTCTGGAAGTGGGTAGAGGGCTGTTTGAAGGGGTCTAAGCAGCTCCTCAGAGCTGAGAGGAATAAGCTGTGTGTCTGTCAAGCCCCAGGACATCAGGCCGGCTAGAGGGAAGGACAGACATGACACCCCAGGGGTGAGGACAGGGATGTTTCTTCCCCAAAAGAACTTCCCCCAGGATTCACTTTCCATCTTTACTTCCTAGATCACCTCATTATGTTAAGTGAGTTTCATAAATTAGTGATCTGGCCACAGCACCGGACACTCCAACAGAACGCGGTGAATCACTCAAACCTGCGTATTCATTTGAAAACTTCATTACACTGAAAATAAATCAACAATATTTTTCCAGGCCATATCTCTTTTACTCCACTGTGTGGGCGTTGGTCTTTGCAAGGGAGGAGGGGCTTTTTTTTTCCTTTTCCCTTTTCTTTCTTTCCCCTTCCTCACATTAACAGTATAGATGAGGCTTCAGCAGACCACAGTCATTATGAAAATCTATAGTTAATACACTCCCAGTGTCAAAATGTCATGGGTTTAAACACAGAACCCAAAATAAGAAAACTAACTGACCCTCTTAATTAAAAAAATATGGATTGTAAGATAATCAGCTTGATGGTGCATTTGGGTGACTGTGAGGAACCGGGCAGAGAGAAAGTAAGTAACTGGTACTTTTCTGCCTCTATGCTGATTTTTTTTAATTTAGCACTTCGTGCAAATCCAGATTAAAATAACTCCAGCTATTGATCCGAGCAGTGGAATTGACATTAATTTTAGTTCACTTCTCACTTTGCAAAGGGATCAATAGGAAGTAATAACAGCTGACATGCCGGCTGAAAGGAGGAGAAAGAAGGGCTGAAGACAGAAATCGAAAAGCAACCAAATAAATCATCAGCTACTTTTCCACGGCATCAGACAAACTCCAAACAGATTGCAAAAAGTCTTTGTTGAATTAACTAAACAAGGAGGAGGGATCAATCCACGAAGCTAAATAAATTGTCCGGCAGGCAGTGAGGTTGGACAGAGGGACCAACAAATATCGAGTTTTTAAAATTTCAGATCCTTGACGTGATGGGTTTGGCTCAGTTCTGTACGTGTGGGAGTTTGTTTCTTTCTTAAATCATACACCCGACTTTGGCTTAAAGTGGTTACAAAACGTCGGCTAACTGAATAATTAGTGAGATTACTAATTGCGTGGTTAAACATGCCAGAACCAAGACAAATGAAGAAGCCGGCTTTTAGAATGTGCAATTATCTGGTACAGGGCTGGTAAGTAGCGGTCCGCGCTCTCCCGGTGCAAACTAGCCACTTTCGTGTAGAAAAACCGAAAGCCAGACAGAAAGTCCCAGCGAGTGAGCTGTCTCCCACCCCTGCCTTGGGTCGGGGCCTCTTCACCCGCTCCGGGGATGGTAGTGCAAGGAAGCCGCGTCGCTGCTGCTGCTGCTGGCTGTAGAGAGCCAAACCCACTTGGAAATGATTGCCACAAAGCAAGCTCTTTCCCAGAGCCGAGCTCAGGGCGCCCACCAAACTAGGACTCTGCTGGCAATTAAAATGCACACGCAACGCTCCTCTGCTTATTACAACAGGTGACATTTTTGTGGTCTCTGAACCGTTTCCAAAAGCCATGACTTAAAATAATAGAACAAATTAAACGATATTTTTCCTTTGCATAAATAAACTTTTAAAAAATTAACAGGCAACTTAAAAAGCAAAGAACAATGGGGAATGAGGCCAGAATAGCAGGGGGTTTCGAAGAACGGAGGAAAGAATTTTTTTTTTTTTTTAAGTTCACAGACTTCGCTTGAAGAGAAATGCCCCCCACCCGGCACACCAAATGCCCAGCGGGTAAGTGGAAACACCGCCCTAACAGAATTTTTACCACCATATGCGAGGGCTCAGAGAGCGTAAGGCTAATACGCCTTGCAGGCTAGGGCCGACGCCTGCGATTCGGACCTGGCCGGGGAGCCAGGGGCACGTCCGAACCTAGCCCCAGGTCCTGCCTGGCCATCGGATGCGAATCCGCGGCGCCGCACGGACCCGGGAGCACGCGGAGGCGCGGATGCTGAGCGTGCGGGTGCGGGCTCAGCCGCCAAGAGTCTCCACCCGGGGGGCGCGGGGCCGCCGGGGATAACTCTTGGAGGGAAAACGAGGGAACGAGAGGAGAAGGAGAAACCTATAAAAACTTGGGGTCAACCCTGAGCCAAACCCACCACCGCCGTGGCCCGACCGCTCTCTCTCTCTCTCCCCCGGTGGCCTTTGTACAAAGATCCCAACAACCTCCTCCGCCCCAGACAATTTAACTTTGGGGGAACGAGGCGCCAGTCCTGGAAGAGGCAGGAGCCCGGGGGCCGGGGCCTGAGGGCGCACACGGGCCGGGGGGCAGGGGCTGGACTCTTCGCCGCCCGCCTTCGACCAAAGTCCAGGGCCCCGGAGCCCCTCGGCCGCCCCGCCCCGCCCCGCGGGTCACCCGGGCGCGGCGGCCCCGGACTCCCCCGCTCCGCCGCGGCCGAGGGCGGCTGCGGGGCCGCAGGACCCCGGCGGCTCCCGGGCGGCGAGCGTGGGGCGCAGCAGGTAGGGGCGGCGCGGCCGCGTGCACCCCGCGTGGCTCCGGAGAACAGGTGTGTCCCCGCTCGCTCCGCGCCCCGGAACGCGGCGAGACGAGTCGCGCCGCTCGGCCCCGGGCGGCCTCCGCCGGGCGGGAGGGATCCGCACGGGAAACGCCCGCCGCGCTTTTTCTCGACGCTCCGTCCGCCTGTTCCCCCTTCGCCCGTCTCCCCTTGGCGGGGAAAAGCCGGCGAGGAGGGGGGTGCGGGGTCCCAGCCCGCTCCGCCACCCCCACCCCACCCCGGCCCCACTCCCGGCTCGCCCCACTTCTCTATTTTTCCTCCCCCCCAACCCCACCATTGCCTCTCCAGCTCAGGCCACGGAGGAGGCGGGAGGTCGGTGGTGGCCGCAGGACGTCGTGAGCAGAGAGAGAGAGAGAGAGAGAGAGAGCCGGTGCCTTCCCTTTTCCGCTGCTTCTGGGGCAGCGAAGGGGCGCGGGCGGGAGACCTGGGACGGCTCGGGCCACCCAGACAGGGCCGCGCCCCACCCGGGTGGCCCCGGCCCCGAGCTCTGCAGCCACCCGATGTGCGTCCGGCTACCGGCCCGGGCCTGGGCTGGAGCGGTGACCCGGGACAGGGGAGGAAGTGCGTTCCTAATGGGAAGGGAGAACGTGTCCTCCGCTTCCCGACACCCCGAGACCCTGTCCCCTCGGGGCTCCAGCAGGCCCCTCGCGGGCCAC